TCCACTCTGTCTAAGGGAGCCTTTTCGATCCTCTCTGGAGAGCCTTGAAAACAAGACCATGCCATTCTCAGGCCTAGAGCTGGGTCATTGATGTGGATGCCTCGAATCCTCTTGATGTGTGCTGAAGACTGAAGACCTAACCACTTAGTTAGCAGCTTGAGCTCTTCACTGCAGGTAAGTCCTGTCCCTGCAATGGAGCTTAGGAAGCTTGACTTCCATGCCCAGGAGCCTTCAGGTCAATCATCGTGTGCCAGCCAGTATCCAGTCAACACGATTAGGTAAGTATGCTCCATTTATTTCCATCCAAGAGTTTGACAAAAAAGAAAAAAAAAGGAATAAAATGGATAAGGTAACCTACCACCATGTTGTTGAAAAACTCTTTGATGCCTGATAGGCATCCTAGACTGACTACTAAATCCCTTTAAGCAGGACCCTACAGGCGTTATCTAGATGCAGTGACCAGTATGCAACACTAGAGGTAGGTATTCAGCTCAAAGAAATGACAAGGTAAATGGAAATTTCACCATCTCAATAACCAGACAAATATTCTGCTCTAATTCAAATAGACAATTCAAAGAAAATTAAGATGGCTCTAACACCCGGCCCCTAACTGTGGACTACACAATTACGTACTTAAACAAAACAAACAAACAAACAAACAAAAAATTCACAAAATCCCAATAAACGTAATTATAGACATATTCAATAATAGCCGTACATGTATTCTTCAATCATTATATACATTATCATTCTTATTTATAGAATAGCAGTTCGTAAGCTTATAAATTCATTAGATTCAACATAGCTTATAAGAGTTCATCAAAAGTTCATAATAGTTCATTTATTTTAGGGATCAGATGTCCTTAATATGTGACCCACTGTTGGGGCTTAGTTTTTACTGCTGGCCCATTAAGTGGAAAGTGGAGCTTCCATCAGCAAGCAAAGCTCATAGGATAGGCCTCAACAGTGTACTTCATTTTGTTTTGCTAAGAGCACTCTGAACTCGTCCTTGGTTATCTGGAAAGGTCTCAACAATTCGTCCTAACAACCAGGAATTTCGTGGTGCTTTCTCATCAGCAATTATTACCTGGTCATTAGGTTGAAAGTTTCTTTTAGCTGAAGTCCATTTTGTTCTCTCTCGCATGCTAGGAAGATATTCTCTAATCCACCATTTCCATTGGGGGCAGTCATGGCCTAATGGTTAGCGTCTCGGACGTGTGACCCGAAGGTCGTGGGTTCGCGTCTCAGGTCCGGCAGGGATCGTAGGTGGGGGGAGTGAATGACCAGCACCCTCTCCCACCCTCAATACCACGACTGAGGTGAGACCCTTGAGCAAGGCACCGAACCCCCAACTGCTCCCCGGGCACCGCAAAAAAAAAAAAAAAAAAAAGGCTGCCCACTGCTCCGGGTGTGTTCACTACTGTGTGTGTGCACTTGGATGGGTTAAATGCAGAACACAAATTCCGAGTATGGGTCACCATACTTGGCCACACTTCACTTCAAAATAAATCAGAAATATACTGCACCTGTTTCCATCTTCTGTGCAGATATAAGTCATTCTTCTCAAAGA